AAAGTTTAAGACCACCATGCAGGGCACATAAAACACCAAGTGAGAGGCTCGCGGTCTGCCTCTCCGGTCCTGAGCTGTGTGACCCGGGGAGCCACTTCCCCTCTCAACACCTCCATTGCCGCCTTCTTTTTTCTGTGAAATTAAGTCACGGGGTAGGTTCGGAGGTTCTGAACCCTTCCTGGGGCATTTGCATCTGTGAAAATCACGTAAACCAGGCATGGGGGATCACGCCTGTAATCCCAACACTTTGGGAGGCCAAGACAGGAAGATCGCTGAAACTCAGGAGTCTGAGACCAGCCTGGGTAACATAGTGCAACCTGTATCTCTACAAAAAAGAAACAAAAAATTAGCCAGATATGGCGGCGCACGCCCGAGGTCCCAGCCACTTGGGAGGCTGCGAACATCGGATAAGGGCTGTGGCTCCTCTCCTCAGATGCATGTCTACATAGCTGCACAGAAATAATCAGCTGCACCTTCCTGGGACTTCGGTAGGCTAAGAGTTCGGAGTAAGATCATCCCCAAGTCCTTAAGTCTTGAAGCATGAGGCCTGGATACAGTGCCTTTGGCCACCCATGTGACTGAACCAGAGGTACCCTGAACAAGATCCCACGGTGACCCATGAGCATAGTTTGAGAAACGCTGCTCACAGGGTCCTTCATGTTCCAGTCACTGGCCCTGTTCTGGATACTACTCATCGGGAAGAGGGTTCTCATTGATGTTTCCCAGCATATAGGCTGAGGAGCCCCTGTGTACCAGTGTCCTGTGGCCGTTGTCACAAATTACCACAAACTTGGTGGCTTAAAACAATAGGAAATGATTATCTCACAATTCTGAGGCCAGAAGCGTGAAACAGGAGTCAGCAGGCCCCGCTCCCTCCCAGGGCTCAAGGCGAGGACCCTTCCGGCCTCTTCCAGCAGCTGGTGGCTCCAGGCATTCCTTGGTTTGGGGTTACAGGGTAGCTGACGTTATATTAGGTTGGTACAAAAGTAATTGCAGTTTTTTTTTTCTATTGAAAATAATTTGAGGCCAGGTGCAGTGGCTCACACTTATAATCCCAGCACTTTGGGAGGCTGAGGTGGGTGGATAACCTGAGGTCAACAGTTGGAGACCAGCCTGGCCAAATGGCGAAACCTCGTCTCTTCTAAAATTGAAAAAATTAGCTAGGCAGGCCGGGCGCGGTGGCTCACTCCTGTAGTCCCCACACTTTGGGAGGCCGAGGCAGGTGGATCACAAGGTCAAGAGATCAAGACCATCCTGGTCAACACGGTGAAACCCCGTCTCTACCAAAAATACAAAAAATTAGCTGGGCGTGGTGGTGCACGCCTGTAGTCCCAGCTACTCAGGAGGCTGAGGGAGGAGAATTGCCTGAGGAGGTGGAGGTTGCGGTGAGCTGAGATTGTGCCATTGCACTCCAGCCTAGGTAACAAGAGCGAAACTCCATCTCAAAAAAAAAAAAAAATTAGCTAGGCATGGTGGCTGCTGCCTGTAGTCCCAGATTTGGGAGGCTGAGGCAGGAGAGTCATTTGAACCAGGGAGGTGGATGTTGCAGTGAGCCGGGATTGCACTGCCACACTCCAGCCTGGGCGACAGAGCGAGACTCCATCTCAAAAAGAAAGAAAAATAAGTAAATTTGACAATGCTGGTCTAGAAGCTTGATTGCCTTCCAGTTCACTTTTTTTTTCCCCAAACATATTTGATATGCAGTTCAGCATACCTCCTAGCATATCACTTCCAGCACAGTGACTATTTGTCACTGTCCATTATGTCAAGATTGATAATCAGGATAAAATTTATGTTGTGTGTATTTACTGCAATAATAAAATGATGATCATTTAAAGGGCTGGTCATTGGGTTCAGCTGCTGCAGCATGACCCATCTGTTGTGAAGCTCCCCATCGGCCTCCACCTAATCATTTTAGCAGCCACAGATGAATGTCCCCTAGATCCATTATTTCATTAGGAGTTGCAAAACGGTGATTTCCCCACTAATTCTGTCATGCCTCCTGCATTTATGAGCTCTGGTTTTTCTATAAAGAACTTTTCCTTATTGCTTATTGATTACCCTGAGATGCAGTTTGTACAGGAAAGGCAAGGAAATGCTCTGTTATTTATTTTCAGAATAATGATTCTGTGGCCTAGCAACCTCCAAACTGCACAAAGAGGTTTTCCTTTTTTCCCCACCAGAATTATGCATATATATATCCATATGTCATATAGAGAGTGCTATATGATGGATTTCAACTCACAGCCATCATTATTCTGTCCAATGCTCAAATCGTCCTGTCTTTGGCCAATTTGGGCTGGTCCTTGTGGTCCATTACCATGTCCCCTGTAGCCTCTGACAGTCTTCTTGCTTCTGGCATGGGGACTTCCTGGCCACAGAGATCAGCCATTTCTCCAGCGAGCCCTGGTTCTTTTGAGTGGAGAATGGCACTTAGAGACCATGGTCTGGGTACTAGGGGTGCTCAATGCTACTGAGTTATGATCATTTCTAGACTTTTACAGTGGGCAGAGATAGGAATAGGAAACATGTTACTTTTTATAAAGAGGAAAACTAGTGAGTTAGTAGTACTAGTTACAATTCAAATGTAAAATTACAGAGGTTTTTTTTCTACTTCTTTGATTTTATATATGTATTTTTTTCTCTTACTGGCATTTATATAATTACTAATTTACTTTATCCTGGAATGTATACATAATAGTTTCAAAGTAACAACATCGACATTATTATTAGCAAGAAGGACACAGCTTCAGATTTCCTCATGGTTCTTTTAATCCTCAGGATATATTACACTTGGGATATTCTATCCAAATCTCTTTTAAAGTCACTTGAAGCTGGGCATGGTGACTCACACCTGTAATCCCAGCACTATGGGAGGCCAAGGTGGGCAGATCACTTGAGGTCAGGAGTTTGAGACCAGCCTGGCCAACACAGCAAAACCCTGTCTCTGCTGAAAATACAAAAAAATTAGCTGGTTGTGGTGGCTGGTGTCTGTGATCCCAGCTGCTCGGGAGGCTGAGTTGGGAGAATCACTTGAACATGGGAGGTGAGGTTGTAGTGAACTGAGATTGCATCACTGCACTCCAGCCTGGGCAACAGAGCAAGACTCCACCTCAACAAATAAATTAATAAATAAATAGTTACTTGAAATAATCATCTGTAGTTATGTCACAACTTGACATACAATTAGGTTCATTTGCTTTCTCCTGTTGTTATTTGGGGTAGATGCTAACCCTTCCTCTTTAATTCTTTTGCAGTTAGAAAAACAAACCATTTTTTATGTTTCCAAAGTCAAAACTATAACACAAAGTCCATTCAACAAGTTCGAGCTTTCCTTTCTCTTCCTTCTTCCCCGTTCTCTCTCTCATTCTAGGTTGCTCCTTAGTTAATAAGTTTGGTTTGTCTTTTCATTTTCTTCCTCTTGAAAATAGAAATGTATGAACATGTATCATATATATGATATACATCACAAATTCTAGATATCTGTTATATATATATATATATATATATGGGGCATCCTATGGGATTGGTTAGGGGTGCTTATTTAGTTTTCTCTGGTTTGTTCTAAGCTACAAGCAGGTACAAAAATTAGTGGAGCTGGCAATTGTCAACCAAGTCCCAGACATTGTGGGTTGGCTGTTTCAAGGGTTTTGTTTGGCTTTCTAGACTGTTGGTAGAGATCGCAGTCTAACTTCCTACAAATCTGGCACAGCAGGCAGTTTCCTGGGCTGGTTACTGTACAAAACGGGCTGGTTTCCTGACCTAGCTGCTGCAGATGTGGCTCATAGTTCTTTTTTTTTTTTTTAACAGAGTTTCCCAGGCTGGAGTGCAGTGACGTGATCTTGGCTCACTGCAACCTTCACCTCCCAGGTTCAAGCAATTCTCCTGTCTCAGCCTCCCAAGTTAGCTGGGACTACAGGCACATACCACCATGCCCGGCTAATTTTGTATTTTTAGTAGAGACAGGGTTTCACCATGTTGGCAGGCTGGTTTCCAACTCCTGACCTCAGGTGATCCACCTGCCTCAGCCTCCTAAAGTGCTGGGATTACAGGCATGAGCCACCATGCCCAGCCCATAGTTCTGTTTTAACTTGTGGTTTGGCCAGTGCCCATTTGTATATTAAGTCTCTCAACCTGTTAAGAGATCAGGCCCCACCTGGGAGCAGTTGGCCATTTGCTTCATGGACATGAAATCCTGCTGCTGCAGAGGCTTGTGGCTGAGCGGGTCTGCCTTGCGGTGTTGCCTGCATTGCTCTGGGATCCTATCCTTCTCATCTCTACGGTGGGAATAATACTAGTGTCCATTTTCATGTTGGGAAGGGGTGGAGCATACAAGATGCCTTGGGTAAGCGCTCCCTGGCTGGAAATCGTTGTCAATGAGAACCAGAGCCAGACACTAATTAAAGGTGGTAAAAACATTTTATTCAATGCTATTCCAAAAAGGAAGAGGCTACAGTATAGAACTGAGTTCAGTTCCAGATACCACAGAAGTGGGGATGTTTTGCTGAGGAGCCAAGGGAGGGGCAGGGGCAGTGATGGAAAATCAGCAAGAGGAGATGTCAGGACAGGAAGATCCTTGCTAAAGGCAGGCCAAGGTCATTGGCTATCAAGGATGCGGATGAGGAAGTTGATCAGCTGTCAAGGGTAATCAGATATGAAGGCTGGGGCATCAATGTAGCAGAACTCTTGGCTAAGACTGGTTTCAGCAGGTCAAGGTTAGGACCCAGGGATGAGGCCTAGTGAGAAAGAGAGCTCAGAGGACCAGGCCTCTAACATTTGGCAAGGAGGAGTCCTATCCCCACCTCAGGCCCAGCACTCCAGGCTCTATGGGGGACCTGTTTCATGGCTTTTATGGCCTGGGAGAGAGGATTTCACAGTCTTGGGGTTGATGCACCCTGCAGCCCCTGAGGTTTAGGAGGCTCCAGGGTGGGGTGGGGTGGGGAGAGGGTGCCTCTGGTCTTTCCCAGGCCTCAAGCTCTGTCTGGACTTCTTCCCCCCAGGCCTTCAACACCCTTCTTCGATCTGCTGCACCACCGGTACCTGCAGCTGTGGGTACAGGAACAAAAGGCCGCCCAGAAAGCCATCAAACTGGAGAAGAAGCAGAAGGTAAACGCAGCCCTCACTCCCAGCTTGCCAGCTGGTGGCGTGGAGAACAGAGCAGGGCCAGCCGGGGGCAAGCATCGAGATGACACTGTGTGTGTGTTGGTGGTTGGGGGTAGGGGGGAATCAGGTTGCATCTTCTGACAGCATCAGAGAATCCAGAGCTGAAAGGATCGTGGTGATGATCTGGTTCAGACCCTACGTAAGCTCACAGGATAGAGGAGATGGGTGGGGACTCCCAGCCAATAGGCCCCGTGTGCCTCTGAGCTGGGACGAGAACCCAGGTGTCCTCATTCTTAACGGGGACCCTTCCCCCTAAACCTCTGCACAAATTCACACACCCAAAATCAGATTCTAGTCTAACCCCACCTGGCCCACACAATCTACAGAGAAAAGGCCAATAAGGCAAAGTTGAAGAGGAACTCACTTCAGAAAGGGTGCCATAAAGAACACATTACATTATACTTTGTAACATTTTATTGCAAATTAACCAAGAGGCAGCTTTCCAAACACCTCCCAAGCTTGACAAGCACTTTGTTATCTAAGTAAAGCCACAAGGCAGGCATTGTAATCCCTCCTTCCCAGGTGTGGAAGTCGAGGCTTGGGAAGGCAGAGCCTGCCCAGGGAAGTTTGAGCTGAGGTCCTGGGTACGTCCAGACACTGCCGATTGTTGATGATAGGAGTCCCTAGCAATGGGGTGGACCTCAGGTCAGTGAAGGAAGGAAAACCATCTTTACCCTTTCGTTTGTGTTGTCATACACATTTGAAGATACTCAAGGCCAGGCGCAGTGGCTCATGCCTCTAATCCCAACACTTCGGGAGGCCAAGGCGGGTGGATCAGCTGGTTCAAGATCAGCCTGGCCAACATGGCGAAACCCCATCTCTACTAAAAATACAAAAATTAGCTAGGCATGGTGATGGGAGACTGTAATCCCAGCTACTTGGTGTCTGGCTGTAGTTTTAGGCTTGCCGCGCAGATGGTAGAAAAAATAAAGCCAATTGAACGTCCAAGCTTTATTAGGAGCTCCGGGCGGACTAAGCACCACTGTACAAACCGAAGTGGGTAGCCGCGCCTAGGAGGTGGGCTGAGTGGCTTATATAGCAGGAGCTAGTAATTTTCCACTGCAGTTGGTTAGGGGGAAGGGGAAAGGGGTGAGGTCAGTACTTTTCCACTGCCGTTGAGCGAGAGAGGGGACGTGCTCGTTCTCAGGCAGAGTTTCTTGCGGCTTATCAGCTATCTCCCAACAAAGGAGTGTTTCCAGGCCTGCTGCGAAAAGGGAAGGAGGGGGTTGGGGTCTTACAACCTAGCTAAACTTTAATGGCAGTACTTTTCCACTGTCGTTGGGGTTTTTCCAGTTGACTGTGGTAGGGGGAAGGGAAGGCCGGTCCTAACACTTGGGAGGCTAAGGCAGGAGAATAGCTTGAACCCAGGAGGCAGAGGTTGCAGTGAGCCGAGATTGTGCCACTGCACTCCAGCTTGGGCCACATAGCAAGGCTCCGTCTCAAAAGAAAAGATACTAAAATGCTACTTCCTTTAAAATATTCTGAAACTCGAACTTTCGGAGAGCTCAGATTGGCCTCCTCCGCAGTAGGTCCAGACTGCTGACAGTAAAATCAGAATCGCTCTGTGTTCACATAGTGCTTGGTAGACTTCATCGAGGGTGTGGCTCCAGTGTGGCTGGTTGTCACAATCACAACCAGCATGGTCCTAAGCCTCTGAGCTGAGGACTGGGCTCAGCACGCACCCTGAGTTTTTACATTTAGTTCTCTGAGAATGCCCTGAGGTCCGTCTCTCCTCCTGTCGTCTCGGTTTGTTTTACTTCACGGGAAACTGGGGCTCAGAGAGATTAAGTGATTTACCAACACTGTCAGACGGATGTGTGTCCTGCCTGAAAGTCCAGGCTTTTCCTGAAAGACAGGTCCCACTCCTGCTGATTACGGAAAAGCCTGGGGCTCAGCGACAGCACCTGTGTTGTTCTAGGGCCAACCTGGGGATCAGAGGAGTCTTTCTGGAAACACTGGTACTCTCAGGAGGGGCCAGGAGAGGCGCAAGGGGTGGGGGCCGAGGGTTTCCAGGTGTGGCTGGTGCCAAGGCCTCTCCTGGCTCTTCTCAGCAGTCTGCAGAGAAGATAGCTCATTAAAGAGCTCGGCATTGTGTAATAACATTTTAAGAGTAACCCATGACTAGTTTATTTGTTAATGGCTCAAGCAAGAGTCCACTTGCTATGGTAATAGCTGGTTTCAGGGGGAGCATTACCAGCACAAACTGCTTTCTAGTCCCACATTAGAGCTGGGAGTTTTTGTTGGTTTGTTTGTTTTGAGACGGAGTTTCGCTCTTGTCGCCCAGGCTGGAGTGCAATGGTGCAATCTCAGCTCGCTGCAACCTCCACCTCCCAGGTTCAAGCCTTGCCCCTGAGTAGCTAGGATTACAGGCATGCACCACCAGGCCTGGCTAATTTTATGTTTTTGGCAGAGACGGGGTCTCACCATGTTGGCCAAGCTGGTCTCAAACTCCTGATCCCGGGTGATCCACCTCAGCCTCCCAAAGTTCTGGTTTTACAGGCATGAGCCATTTTGCCCTGCTTAGGGCTGGGAGTTTTAATTAGCAGCTATTTCACGCAACTCTGAGTGTTGGCAAACCCATCCCATCTTCCGGCTCTAGGAGAGAGCCCCTCCTTTTCTAGCAGAGCCCCCTAAAACAGCTCATGTGGTTTGGAGCAGGCGCCGGCTCTGCACGTGGTGTGGCTGAGTGAAGTTCTTTTTGTTGGGGTCTTGGTTTCTGCATTGTGTGTGTAAAGGGGTCTGATTAAATGAGGGCCCGCTACACTGTCACTGTGGGGAGGAAAATGTCTTTCCTTCTACCTATCCTAGACTCATGGCTGAGGGCCCTATCACAAAAGACTGATTTGCAAGAGAAAAGTATTCAAATGTTTTTAGGTTTTGCATGGCACGTTAGCCTCCGTAAGGAAATGAAGACCCAAAGAAATGGTTACATGCATATAGATATAGATATAGATATAGATATAGATATAGATATAGATATAGATATAGATATAGATATATTTTGAGATGGAGTTTTGCTCTTGTTGCCCAGGCTGGAGTGCAGTGGCAATTCTCCTGCCTGAGCCTCCCAAGCAGCTGGGATTACAGGCATGCGCCACCACACCCGGCTAATTTTGCATTTTTAGTAGAGACAGGGTTTCACCATGTTGGCCAGGCTGGTCTCGAACTCCCGACCTCAGATGATGTGCCCACCTTGGCTTCCCAAAGTGCTGGGATTACAGGCATGAGCCACGGTGCCGGGCCAAACACATTATTTTTATGCTAGGTTTGATGAGGAAGAGAATAGGATAGTTGTGGAGCAACAGAATTGGATGAATCATGTGATTTTATGGTGAAAAACTGGGGGAAAGTTCGCAAGGGCTGTTCAGTTTTCAGGATGTTCTTTACTTGTACGTTTGGGGCGGCACCTCTCGAATGAGGGTCTCATAACCTGCTTGAGGGGAGAAGGGCAGGGGTTGTGAAACAGACCATCCTAGTTCTGCCCGTTTTCAGGATGCCAAGGTGGCAGATTTGGAGGTATTGTGAATTCCATCACTTAGCACGGAGCAGGGACTCAGAAGACACTTGTACCACCCTTGTAATGTTGCTCCAAGATTCCCTGTAGCTGCTCTATTGTCCTACAAATGGCTACAAACCCACCGAACGCTGGGAGGCTATGGTCTGGGGTTGATAGACAACTTACCAGCCTTGCTTAGATGGTCAGTTTGCAAGGCCACTTCCCCACTGCCACAGACCTAGGGGTCCTCCTTAAGCCTGTAAGCATCTGGGTATGTCCTGATTTGGGTGGTGAGGACCCAGATGAAATTCGTGACAATAGCTACCAATGAGTGAGCAATCATCTTGGCCACCATCCTGCTCAGAGCTGAACTCAGCAAACCCTGCGAGAACCCTGCTCCGTGGGCATCCGCATCCTATTTCCAGAGGGAGCCGAGGCTCAGAAAGCTGACATATTGCCTGCCTCAATTCCGAAGCCAGGCTCCATAACCCCTGACTAGGCAGCCTCTCTGCTTTAGTTCAAAGATAGTTTCAAAACCTTCTAGATATGGCTGGGCATGACGGCTCATGCTTGAAATCCCAGCATTTGGGAGGCCAAGGCCAGTGGATCACCTGAGGCCAGGAGTTTGAGACCAGCCTGGCCAACATGGTGAAACCCCACCTCTATTAAAAATACAAAAATTAGCCAGGTGTGGTGGTGCGCGTCTATGATCCCAGCTACTCGGGAGGCTGAAGCAGGAGAATCGCTTGAACCCGGGAGGTGGAGGCTGCAGTGAGCCGAGATTGCTCCACTACACTCCAACCTGGGCGACAGAGGACTCCATCTCCAAAAAAAGGGGGGACTTGTAAGTGATCCACAGACACATTCAATAAAATTAATACAACAAAATAAATCAATAAAAGTGGTTTACTGGGGTGGTGGCACCTTCGATTAAACCTGGTTCAGTCTTTATTTGCTGACTGTGCCTTCTGTGTGCTTCACACCAGGGGAGGTGATGCTGAAGGTTTACCAGGCATCCCCTCTGGAAGACTCTGGGGAAAGAGGAAACAAGCCTGGTGAACCCCAGGGCAGACCCGTGTTTTGTTGGGCCTGAAACGTCTACAGTTTGGAATCCCGATTTAAGACAAAGTACACAAAGGAGACCTGAGACCCTGTGAGCTCATGCACAGGCCCCTCCCAGCTGAGCCCGGGAACAAAGGACTTGGCAGCCTTGAGGGCCCCAGGGTTCCCTGCCAGGCCTCTGTCCTTGACAGTCCCCCAGGACTGCTCTGAACCAGCTCTGTGCCTCTGGCTGCAGCCAACACTGATGACTCCCAGACCAGGGCCTCCAGCCCATCCCCGGCCGCCTGTGTCCCGCCCCTCACACATCTCAAGCCACCAAGTCCCACTTCCAAACCCACCCCCAACCACATACTTCCCATCTCAGTGGCACCTCTCGTGGTTTCCGGCTGTGAAGGCCAAAAACACACCTGGTTTCCCCGTGTCCCAGGCCCTATTTCTGAGGCCTCAGCAAAGCCAGCAGCTGACCCCAACTTCACTGGACTCCACCCCTCCTATCACTCACCTTGGCTGTTGAGTTGCCCCCACCTGTGTGCTCAGCATCCACATGGTTCCCTGGCTCTGCCCTCTGCAGCCCACGGGGGGAGCCTTTCAAAGCCCAAGTGGGATCATGTCACTACTCTGCCTTCCAGAGGCTTCTGAAGGAATCCAGAACAGAGCCTAAGACTACTGTGCTCTAAGGCCCCCTGGTCTGGCTGCCTCTCCCACACAGGTCCCACTGTCCCCCACCCACCTCCGTGTTTCTCCAATGCACCCAGAATGCTCCCATCCCAGGAGACTCCTACCCCAGGGCCTTTGCACTTGCTGCTCCCTTCCAGGAAAGCTCCTCCCAGACGTCCACCACCTCCATCCTCTCCTTGAATGTCACCTTACCAAGGGGCCTTCCCCAGTCGTCCCTAAAACACCATCTCCTCTCTGCCATCCTGCGACCTCTTACCTGGCTTCAGTTGTCGTTGTTAAGCACTTCTCACCACCTGACATTTCGTTAGCTCCAAGAGGACAAAGACTGTATTCAGTGATGTGTCCCCAGCCCCTAAAACAACGTCTGGCAGGTGAATGCCCAATGGAAACTTGTTGATGAATGAATGAGTGAGTGCTGGTAAGAATGAATGAATGAATGGTAAGAACCTCAGGCAGGCACTCAGTAACTGTAAGCTGTTGAGTCATGTCCTTGCTGCGCAGTGAGCCAGCCCCGTGGATCTGGACATCATGAAGATGCTCTCCCGCTCCATCCTGTGTCTAGTCTTCACACCCCTCCTGCAGTGACACATCCTCTCTGGCTCCCTTGGGGACTAGCATCCTCTCCTGCCTCGCCCGTCTCATCAACTCCCCAGATGGGGTCCCTACTCTTTGCTCTAGCATAAAGGTGGGGCTGACCTGTGAAAGCCCCAGCGGATTTCTGGATTTGGACAAGGATCACAGCCATAGGCTAAGGAGGTGGCTGTCAGGCTTGACTCTGCTCTGAAATTCCCTGGGGAGCACATTGACAATGCTGAGTCCAGCCCCCTTTCCCAGCAATTCTGAAGTTGGAGGCCTTGAACCCTGTCTTAGTCTGCTCTGGCTGCTATAACAAATACCACTGGCTGGGGGGCTTAAACAATAGAAATTTATTTTCTCACAGTTTTGGAGGCTGGATGTCCAAGTCCAAGGTGCTCACGGGTTGGTTCCTCCTGGGGCCTCTCTTCCTGGCTTGTAGACGGGCGCCTCCTCACCATGTCCCCACATGGTGGGGACAGCTCTGGTCTCTCATCCTCTTCGTACCAGGGCACCAGTCCTGTCACATCAGGGCCCACCTTTAGGACTTCGTTTAGCTTTAATTACCTCTTCTGGCCCCGTCTCCAAATACAGACGCAGGGGAGGTTAGGGCTTCAACATATGACGTTTGGGTCAGTCCAGAACAGACCTTATGAGCTACAGGGCTTTCACTGTGGACTTGCTGCCACGTGGTAGTGGGCACAGGCATGCAGGTCAGCAGCAGAGGGGCTTCCACTGTGCCTCTGAAATCCCACCTGCAGAACTACCATGGTTGGGGGTCCCTCAGTCCCCCACAGAAGCTCTCATTCCTCCTGCATGAGCAGGCTGTGGAGGACTGCTCTAAGAGGCAGTAACCCCTTGAATTGTGCATTTCTTCATTCAAACACTGTGGAGTCCCTAGGACACACTGGGACTGCATTAGCCATGGAGGACAAGTTCAAGGATGACTGAGACACTATCCATGCCCTTGGGGTGGCTGCACGCAGGAATCCCATGTGTTCCAGAGACTGGAATGTTCTGGGTGTCCTGGAGTCCCAGTCTTCTGAGCTGTGGCCAGAGACAGGACCACGGAGGCAGGTACTGTGAAATAGCCCTAGAGAAGGGCTGGGGCCAGAAGGAAAGTGACCCAGGATCTTGCCACACCAAGAATCACAGCCCTCTGTCTCTGCTCCCCTTCAGCACAGGCTTCTCTAAGTAGCCAGGCGACCATCCCACCTTTGCCTCTCCCTGGCCTGCAGGTGATCCTTGGGAAGCTGTATGAGACCCGGAGCAGTCAGCTGAGGAAGTACAAGCCACCTGTGAAGCTGGACACCCTCTGGCACATGCCTCACTTCCAGAAGGTCAGTGTCACCTTCATCCATGTCCCTCCCTGCACTGTGCTGGCTGCCACTCACCTTGCCAGGCCTTTACCTGTGGTCTCTAAGTTCTGTGGGTTTCTCACCATCAATTAGCAATAGCAAGAGCTAATGTTTCTCAAGCACTTCCTAAGGCCTGGAGCTGAGCCCATGTGTATCATCTCCGTGACTTTCCACATTCACTGATGGGGCAGCTGCTGCTACCCAGCCGATTTGATGGACGGGAAACATGGTAGATGCTGTGGAGTGGCAGAGTTTTGAGCTGAACCCGGACTATGTGGGGGCAGAGGCTGCGTCACTGTCCATCTAAGGCAGAGGCCATCTTCCTGGGGCAGGAGCTGTCCATTTGGGGCAGAGGCTGTTCACCAGGGTTGGAGCCTGTCCATGTCGGGCAAGGGCTGTCTGTGCCAAATCTCCCTCCAGGGAAGGGGTAGTTGATGCATCAGATCCTGTGCTGGGAATTTTGGGGTGCAAGACAGATGCATGCCAACCAGCATGAACTTCCCACAAAGTGATGTCCCCAGGGAGAGAGGAGCAAAGGTCTACCATGGGCTGAGGAAAGTGCATGACATGTACCCAGATGGACCTAGATAAGGAACCAGGGAATGGGCCACGTCCTGGCCTCAGAACTCAGCTGGTGTTCACTCAGCCATGTAGCCCTGTAGCACCCAGACAGGGATTCATCTTCGGCAGCATTTGGCAGGGAAAGAGCAATGGAAGAGCCGGGGACACTGTACGGAGAAAGGGAAATGGAAGATTTGGGAACACTGGCTTCAGGACAGGACCAGGGAAGCCTTATGTGCCCAGCTCAGGCAGAGGGAGCCTTTCTAGGAGGCCACAAGGCACTTGCCCAGCCCCAGGAAGACAGCTGCACAAAGCAATGTTCCCAGCCAGCCAGGCCTGGCTGCTGTGCCGCGTTAAACTGCAATTTAAACAATGAAGGGGCCGGTGCCTTTCTGAGCCTAATGCACACGAACAGGCTGTAGAGCTTCACTGGAGAAACCTTCTCTGCCCGCCTTGATGCGGCCTCTCATGTCCTGCCCAAGTGGCCTCTGCCAGCATATGTCAGTGACCATGCGCCCTGGCGCCCGTCAACACGCCACCTCCGTGCACAGCAGACGTCAAGGGAGGAACAGGGCTGAGCACGTCTGGGAGGTAGCAGGAGTCACCGCAGCTCCTCTCACACCTCCGGCCCTCTCACAGCATAACTCATCTCTAGCTTCTCTGCCTTTTCCAACCACGTTGCTCCGCGTCCCTTGCTCTCTCTCACACTCAGCAGATTCCATCCACAGCCTCCATCCTGGCTCTGGCTGCGGCCTTTCCTCCCTGCCTTTTTTTTTTTTTTTTTTTTTTTTTTTTTTAAGGCAGAGTCTCACTCTGTTACCCAGGCTGGAATGCAGTGGTGCAATCACGTTCACTGCAGCCTCAACTTCCCGGGCTCAGGTGATCCTCCTGCCTCAGCCTCTCAAGTAGCTGGGACCACAGGCTTGCACGACCATGTCCAGCTAATTTTTGTATTTTTTGCAGAGATGAGGTTTCGCCATGTTGGACAGGCTGATCTCGAACTCCTGGGCTCAAGTGATCCTCCTGCCTGGGCCTCCCAAAGTGCTGGGATTACAGGTGTAAGTCACCATGCCTGGCCACCTCCCTGCTCTTTTCTCTCTGAGAATCCCTGCAGTCCGTGGGGATGCTGCCTGAGGAGGGACCAGGACCCAGCGTTCCACTGGCATGGGCTGACCTCTGCAGCACTCTGCTTCAGGCCATCACACTTAGCCCCCTCCTCTCTGATTTACAGCCCAAGACTATGGACATGGGAGGCTCAGGTGGTCTCTCCCCAGCAGAGCAAGGAAAGGGCTCTCGGTAACACTGCTGCACCTGCTCTGGGAGTGCCCATCTCACTCACCTGTGTCCCACCGTGCCTGGCCCGGAGTAGGAGCTAAACACACATAGAATGAGTTTCCATTTTCAAGAAGGGGATTTGACCACTCAAGGTCTGCCAGTCTTGAGACTATCGTTCTGAAATACGGTTATGGACGATAGCAAACCAGGAGTGACGGCCTCCTGTTCGGTGCAGGCACTGTGTGAGGTCATGTGTGCATGTTACTTCATTTCATCCTCAGAACAAGCTCCTGAGCGGATTTTGCAGATGAGAGGCCGAGGGGGAGCACCTTCCTTAGCCACAGAATGGCCAGGCCTGGAACCCAGGTGTGTCTGATGGCAGGGCCCAAGCCGATACACAGGACGTATTGGGCCAGCAAAATAATGAGAAAGAAAGTAAAAATGCAAGTCACAGTATCTATCCAGGGCTTTTCCCCCTTTCTGAGGATATTTGCGGGATCCTGGCAGTTAAAGCTGCAGCTGTCACCCTATCCCATTGGCCAGAAACCTGGGGCCAAGGGAAACGAGGGCTTGTGCGACGTGCATCCTAGGATGCCACCCTGTCCAACCCAGCAGAGACCCGGAGACCCACAGGTGCTGCTGTTAGGGGTGTCACATGCAGTCCCCTCCTTGTCAGGAAGTAACATTAGCAAAAAGTATTTACTGAGCCATTAGAATGCACCCGGGGCTCGGCCTGCCTCATCTTAGAGATAACATGTCCCCCTTCTACTGATGTGGAAACTGAGGCTCGGAGAGGTCAGAAGTGGAGTCTGGGTCCAATCTGGGGCTTCCTGGGTCCAATCTGGGGCTTCCCAGCCCCAGGGCCTCCTGAGGACCCCTTCCCTCACCTCCAGGCCCCACCCAGAGGTCCCCATTCTCACCACCAAAGGGATCCTTTCTTCCCCTTCACACCACTTAACTCTGCAATTAATTATCTGGGCAATGTTTTCATCTCGCTCAATAAAATGTGAGCCCCCCAGAACCACGCCTATCCATTCCACACCTTGTCCCCAGAGCCCCGCAGGGTGCCTGGCATGGAGTGGGGGGGTCAGTAAATACATCTGTGGAATGAATGAATAAGGAGATGAGAGACCGAAACGCCAGTACAGCCCAGAATGACAGAAGAATTGAAAAACCTGTTACAGACGGGATGAAACTCCCCCCTCACTTTTCTCCGCTTCCCAAACCAAGCGCCCAAGCACCCACCATCCCAGCAGCCACCAACCGGGCCTGGACTCAGAGGTTCGGGCGGGCGGCCAGGGCTACTCCCCACCGGGAGCTGCTGTCTGCAGTGTCTGTGGTGCGTGAAGCCCCGGGACGGCCTTTGTCTGTGCCTGGCGTTGCTGCTGATCTGCCACCCCCACCCCAGCCCCATTATGAAGGGAAAAGCGCTTCCAAAAAAGTTGAACCTGTCACAGTGATGGATAACCTAAATGGACTCCCCCCGCTCACGGACAGATGTCGACGCTGAACTCTGTCAGAAATAATTAAACACCTTTCACACAGAAAAGCAGCAGGCAGGGCGCGGCTGCCGCACGACCCCGCCAGCCACGAGGGGGCTGCCCTGCCAGAGGGGCTGCCCAGACCCCCGCCCTGATGACCCGGGCCACTTACAGGGTCGAGAGAGGAGAAGGACCAAGGAGGGAAGAGGCCACATCCCCCACCATGCGTTCCTTCCAGGCAGGGCAGTACAGAGATGCTTTCTTTCTGGTCTGTACCACCAGCAACTGCCACGGATGTCCGGGGCCCAGGTAGGACTCAGCCAGCAGCCATGAGGGGCCCTCCTGCCAGAACAGCTATGCCTGGGCTTGCCAGGCCTCAGTTTCCTCTTCTGAAAATGAGTGGGTAGGACTAGTTCTTTTTTCGCTCTCTCTTTGAAATGGAGTCTCGCCCTTTCACCAGGCTTGAGTGCAGTGGTATGATTTTGGCTCAGAGCAACCCCCGCCTTCTGGGTTCCTGCCTCAGCCTCTCAAGTAGCAGGGACTACAGGTGCATGTCACCATGGCCAGCTAATTTTTTTATGCGTATTTTTGGGAGAGACAGGGTTTCACCATGTTAACCAGGATGGTCTCCATCTCCTGACCTCGTGATCCGCCCGCCTAGGGCTCCCAAGAGCTGGGATTACAGATGTGAGCCACCGCACCCAGCCAGGGACTAGTGCTTGAGGGTCCCTTCCAATCCAAGATTCTGTGTTTCCCAGTTCATTGGCCCAGAAGCCATGTGGGAGGGGATGGGGGCTCTTGGAGGTGCAGATTCCACACCCAGAGTGAGCCAGCAGGGGGAACAGCTCAGATCCTTCCTCAGGTTCCCATTTTGGGGATGGAACATGGACTCATTGTCACCCATGCCCGAGTGGAGGCGTCGCTGGGCTGGGGCTGATGCCCCCCTGCCCTGGGGGGATAGGGATGCTCTCTTGACCTCTGGCCAGGTGTTCTGGGTCTGCAGGGCAGACAGCAAGGCCAGCAGGGAGCAGTGTGGTATGTCTGTGGGCACGCATGACTCTAGGGACAGCCAGACATGGTCAAGTGGCAACCCCGTCACACCTACCTGTCAGGTGTCTTGACCTGTCTGATACCCACTTCCTCTTCTGTAAAATGGGCTAACAAATGCTCCCCTGGCAGGGCTGCTGGGAGGATCTGGAGAGGACGTGTGTGAACCACACTTAGCCGAACACCTGGTCCATATCAACTGCCTGTAAGTGGCAGCTGCCATGAGGATGTTTGTGTTCATTCATTCATTCACCTACTCATTCACAAATCTTTTCCACATGCACCTTCACGCCAGGCCCTGTCCCCACACTGACGCTATGCTGACAAACAGGCCAGATTCGGGTGTGACTGCCGCCTTGGGGCTGCTGGCCGCTGGCATGGGGTGACGTGGACAGACAGACCGACACACAGGCAGTTGTGCAGAGCTGGACGTCTGGGTCGAGAAGTCTGGGTCGAGAAGTCTGGAAAAGCTCTGCCCTAGGTGTCACCGGGTGTTCCCAGGGGCCCCATGTTCGTAGCCTGAAATGGTCCAGAGACACCAACCTTGCTTGAGAGGTGGAGGCCACTCCCATAACCACAGCCCCACTGAACGTAACCCTGTGTGGGCCGGCCCACCCTGTTCCCATGCCTTCTGCAGAAACCTCCTCAGGGCTCTCCAAGTGCCCCTGCTTGCCTAAGCGGCCCTCCCTGGAGTCCTGGCTAACAGCACTTCCTCCGGTTCTCAACCAGCCACCGTGCACGGCCACCTACGTGTTCGTTGGAAGGCCACGCCAAGCAGACGGTATATTCTTCTGCCCAAAGACAGAGAGTGAGTGCCCCCAAAAGCATATGGCCAATGACAGTAGAGAAAGACTGGATGCCATTGGCAAAGAGATGGCTCACGTACACGTTAGGAGGTTTACACAGTGAGATACTATGCAGCCCTGAAAACCATGGCTTTGATCTGTACTTACTGGCACTTTAATACAGATTGTTGGGCAAGAGTCTGTGCCACGGGACCTGTCTGGATAGATGCACCCGAGCAACTCCAAGCGTCTGCACGAGGCATACAGACGTTTGGAAGGAGGGACAGTGCTGGTCTTTGCCAGGGTGAGGTTGCAGCTGATTTTACTTGCTCTGATGCTCTTTTCTGTATAGTTTGCATTTTTTTCAACAAGTAGATGTAGCTTTTCCAAAACCAGTAAGGCTTTTTTTTTGAGATGGAGTTTCACTCTTGTTGCCCAGGCTGGAGTGCAGTGGTGCGATCTCGGCTCACTGAAACCTCTGCCTCCTGGGTTCAATGATTCTCCTGCCTCAGCCTTCTGAGCAGCCGAGACTACAGGTGCACACCACAACGCCTGGCTAATCTTTGTATTGTTAGTAGAGATGGGGTTTCACCATGCTGGCCAGGATAGTCTCAAACTCCTGACCTGAGGTGATCCACCTGCCTTGGCCTCCTAAAGTGCTGGGATTATAGGCGTGAGCCAACACGTCCGGCCCAGTAAGGCTATTTTTTTTAAAAAATGTTTTTGAAAGATGGAGAGCCTGCGTTCTTCCCCAGGTGTTCTTCCCAGTGTTCATACCCCTGCTTTGAGCTCAGTTCTTCCTGATGTCTCACCAAACGCTGGCATGCTGCTGGCCAAGCCCGGCTTTGCTTGCTCAGCTTCCCTCAGGCATGAAGGTCAGCGCTGTGCCCCAGTGGTGAAGCCTTCTGACTTCCAGAGCCTGGATCTTTATTATAACAAGTCTACGTTGTAATTAGAGACCCAACATCAATTTTAGAAGGAGGCTTGCCCAAGCATGGGAGGGGGGACTCTCCACGTCCTCCTCCCACCCTCCTCTCCCCCCACAGTTCTCGTCTCTCTGCACCGACAATACCCACCAACATTACATAGTCGTTCAGTCACTAAAGTATGAACAAATTGACTATATTTTCATTTGGCTTTTGGTTTCAGCCCCACTGCTTTAGAATAATGGCCCAAGCTATTAAGCTAACAGTTTGATTTACAAGCTCTTCTGCTCTGAACGCTGGGATCAGGCTCCTCTGTTCGTGGAAGACTAACCCTGCCTCAGGTCTCCTGGGCCCCTGGCTCCCTAATAGAACAGGAGATGGAGGGAAAAAAATCTATCTCAGCAGCCAGCCAAGCAGTGACACCCAGAGATGCAGCTGATTAGTGAAAGCTGCTGAATCTAAGCAAAGGATTTTCTTTCCCACCTTTAAGCTCTCTTACAAATCAGAGCTGGCCGAGAAGTTAACTCTCTGCTAAACCCCCAAGCGGGCTCCTAGCCTGTCCACCCGCCACCTCTGCCTCTCCACCAGGCTTGCCTGCTTAAAATGAGGATGGGCTGAACTCCGCAAGGTGTATCTGACCCCAGGAAGGACAGGTGCCAGATCTACTGCCCCTCCCGAGGGTCTCTACACCAGTGATGTATTTTAAGAATCCTGTCGCTTCCTTGCATCAGAATAAGAATCGTCCTATGTCACCGTGTAGGGCACCAAGTGCAGGAACGGAATGTGTCACACGCGGAAACACGGCAATAGGAAGGATAATTCAGAAGCCCTGATGGGGTTGACACTTCCCTCTAAATACAGACACCCCCCATTATACACGGATCAGTATGCAGACGAGTTGACTTGCTGCAGGGATGAAAGCAGGAGCTTGGCAGTGGCTCACACCTGTAATCCCAGCACTTTGGGAGGCCAAGGTGGGTGGATCACTTGAGGTCAGGAGCTTGAGACCAGCCTGGTTAACATGGTGAAACCCTGTCGCTACTAAAAACGCAAGAATTAGCTGGGCATGATGGCAGGCACCTGTAATCCCGGCTACTCAGGGGGCTGAGCCAGAAGAGTCACTTCAGCCTCGGAGGTGAAGATTGCAGAGAGCAGAGATTGTGCCACTGTACTCCAGCCTGGGTGACAGAGCAAGACTGTCTCAAAGGAAAAAAAGAAGCAGGAGCTTACTTGGTTTAACATGATCTGGCACCTCAGAGGTATAGAATTCTTAGGCATCTGCTCGGGAGGTGACATTGCTGCTCAAATACTGGCAAGTCACGAATAGCCAGAGCTGAAGGTCTGGGGCAGATTGAGAGAAAGGGAGGGATGTGTGTATGTGGGGAGTGATGGAGGAATAGTGGCCAGGTTCCTAGAGCAGCACTCAGAGTCTGGGATGTCCATGGTGGGGCCTAGAGAGGCCAGCAGTGAAGGGGTGACCGAAGCTGACACTTCCAACAGGACCAATCCTGCAACCTGGGAACCCCCAGCCTGGTGCCCCCTTCATCCTTCCCGCTCCAGAGGCTTTTCAGTCTAATCCAGAAGATTCTTCTCCCTGACTATATGCAAAAATATTTCACTATTTTGTTGAAAATCAACCAGAATAAATGAGTAAGACAGCTGGTTTGGGCATCAGCTACACCCTTCTAATTTCTAGAGATAGCAAGAGTCTCATGTTGAATTTTGGGAGTTGATGGAATTTGGGGGTCCCCAATTTCTTCTTCAGATTCTAGCTCATCCCCAGGAGAACAAATCTCCAATGAGCTAGAAAGAATCCCACTGGCTTGGGAAGGAATTTGGGGAGGACCATCTTCCTCAACGTCTCCCTTGAAGCTTTTTTGTTTTGTTTTTGAGACAGGGTCTCACTCTGTTGCCCGGGCTCGGGTGCAATGGTACAGTCATGGCTCACTGCAGCCTCCACCTCCTAGCTTCAAGTGATCCTCCCATCCCAGCCTCCTAAGTAGCTGGGACTATAGGCGTGCAGCTAATCTTTAAATTTTTTTTTGTAGAGAGAGGGTCTCACTATGTTGCCCAGGCTCCTTCTGGTTTCTGAGTGTCCCCACTTGTCAGCCTCCATCCTCCAGCCCCTGTGAGGTTGGTGGGGTGGGGACCCAACGCCATCTGACATGAGGCTACCAGACACGGGGCCAGCAGGCTCTTGCCCATAAACAGCATAAAATGATTCCCTGAGTTCATTCAAACAGAATTCTGGCAAAAGTGCCAGTAAAATGGCTCAAGACTGCAAACACAGCCTGACTTGTTACCCTCAGAGATGCAAAGTACATGGGCACCAGTGAACACACTTAGGGTAGGGGAAAGTAAGACAATGGGGAGGTTTTTTTGAAAACCGACTCTGTCTTCTTCCCCTCCTCTCCTCAAAGAAGTCCTAGGAAAAGATGCCTTAGGGTGGTGAAAAAAAATAAATGTGGGCGGTTTGACCACAGTCCAATGGCTGGGAGAGTAGAGGGGAGAAGTTATCCTAAAGATAGAGTTCCCAGACAGCGTCAGTGATAACATCGACAGCTCACACATCCTCAGTCCTTCTTGGGTGCCAGCCCAGGTGCTTTTTTTTTTTTCAACTGTATTTTATTGTATTTTTTTGAGACAGAGTCTCACTGTTGCCCAGGCTGGAGTGCAGTTTCACAGTCTCAGCTCACTGCAACCTCTGCCTCCCAGGTTCAAGCAATCTTCTGCCTCAGCCTCCCTGAGTAGCTGGGATTGCAGGCACGTGCCACCACACCCTGCTAATTTTTGTATTTTCAAAAATTAGCAGAGACGGGGTTTTGCCATGTTGGCAAGGCTGGTCTCTATCTCCTGGCCTCAAGTGATCCGCCTGCCTTGGCCTCCCGAAGTGCTGGGATTACGGGCATAAGCCACCGTGCCCAGTCCAAGTCTAGGTGCTTTTGTGAGTTATCCCATTTCACATCCGTACTCTCAATAACCCCACATGGTAGCAGTGAGTCACTCTGTCTCCGAGGCGAGGAGGCTAAGGCTCCGAAGCTTAAAGTCACATGCTGAGGTTAATAGCTAGCATGTGGCCAAGTGGGGACCTGGGCTCTGGCTGGCTGCGTCCAAGCCTCAGGCCCTGAAAGAGCAGATAAATACTAAAGACCTGCAACTGAGGTCAGGGGCCAGTCGGGGTCTAAATGCAGGGCCTGGGAGGGAAAGTGCAGGGCGATCGGGGATGTTGGATTTTATGGGTGTCCAGAGTGTCATGGCCAGGCCTGAGCTGGCTGATTTAAGCCCTGGCAATAAACCAAACTTCCCACTGCCCCCAAAGCCTCTAGATCTTGATAAAACCTCAGGCATCTTTTAAATTGCAGTTTGGCCCCAAGGCCAAAAAGGAAATAGGCGGCTGATCCCATATTCAGGCTTGCTGTATTAAAAGTGGAAGACTGATGCGGAGCCTAGCAAGAGGGCTGTGTCTGCAGACTGGGCAGCCACGCAGAACGGCTCCAGGCCCCAGCCTGCCTCACGCCTGCCCTGGGTATGCATCTGTGAAGCAGGGACAGTAACAGAAAGGACCAGGTGCAATCATGCATGTGAAGCGCGTGGCACAGGCCTGGCCCGGGGAGGGTCATGGAGCAACAGGGCCTCTGAGAGGGACGACGCCCTGGAAGCTGCTCCTGTACATGAGTTATTCACAAACTTGGCTGTGCCTTAGGGTCCTCTGAGGAGACGTTTAAAATGCAGAGTGTGGTGGCTCATGCCCGAAATCCAAGCAATTTGGGAGGCCAAGGCGGGAGGATCACTTGAGGTCAGGAGTTCAAGACCAGCCTGGTCAACATGGTGAAACCCCGTCTCTAGCAAAAATACAAAAATTAGCTGGGCAGGGTGGTGTGTGCCTGTACTCCCAGCTACTCAGGAGGCTGAGGCAGGAGAATCGCTTGAAACTGGGAGGTCGAGGTTGCAGTGAGCCAAGATTGTGCCACTGTACTCCAGCCTGAGTGACAGAGCAAGACTCCATCTCAAAAAAAAAAAAAAAAAAAAAAAATGCAGAGTCCAGGGCCCCCCAGGACTCTGATCTAGTGGGTCTGGGGTGGCCACCAAACCTGCATTTTCAGAAGCCACCTGCCCCAGCTTCCAGGATCAGTGTCAACTCCACTCTTACAGTTATGTTCAAAATACAGTTATGTGTTTACTGTGGTAGGTGGATGTGTTTTCCTATATCTGACATGAGGCATGATGGTGCTTTCGAAGGGAAATGTGCAGTTGGAGACAGCCTCTGTCTGTTAAACAGCCCTAAGGGTTATAAACTCCTCTCTTAGCTCAGGCCGCTCTAACAAAATTCCATAGACTGTGGAGTTTGAACAACTGATGTTTATTACTCCTCGATCTGAGGCGAGTCCAAGGTCAGGGTGCCAGCATGATCAAGTTCTGGTGAGGGCCTTCTTCCTGGCTTATGGCCAAGGCACCTTCTCACCAAGTTCTCACTTGATGAAGAGAGACAGGAAGCACACATTCTGTTGTCTCTTCTTACAAGGACACTAATCCCATCGTGGGTCCCCACCCTCATGACCCCATTTAAACCTAATCACCTGCCCCAAAGCCCCATCTCCAATGGCATCACATATGCGGGTGATTCACATATGAGGGTCAGGGACTCACATACGTGGGTTGTTGCCAGAGCTTGGTGTCTCCTGCTTGTAATCCCAGCACTTTGCAAGGCTGAGGTGGGAGGATTGTTTGAGGCCAGGAGTTCAAGACCACCCTGGGCAACTTAATGAGACTCCGTCTCTACAAACAAACAAACAAACAAAACACCGTGTGCAGATTTTGGGAGGACGCATTCAGTCCACAGCAAGCTCTCTTTCAAGTGCAGTGGAAATCTGCCTTCTACCTTCCACCTCCTCATGTGTTTCTTGCTTCTGGAGCCCCATGGAATCACCTTCTCTCCCTTCCACATGACAGCCCTGCAAATTCCCAGAGTCAGATACCATTTCTTCATAGACAACCAGGGTCTCAACTGAACCCTAGGCAGTGTTCTGAATGTTGGAAGGGGGACCCTGCATTGCAACAACCCAGGTGCCATGGTCTGCACCAGTCCATGCTGCCTTCTCTACCCTTACCCACATTCGTGGAAGATCTGTCAAGTTGCACCAAATTTCTGTATATTTCCAAATAAAATTGTGATGGAAGCTGTCCATCAGTGCCACTTGAATCACTTAATACAAGAATCTCTGAAAATTCACTGCTGGAGGGCAATTTCAGGAAGAAGCTGTAGTCAGATCCGTGTACCACTGATAGTAATAATAACAGTACACGGTGGCTCACGCCTCTAATCCCAGCACTTTGGGAGGCTGAGACGGGTGGATCACGAGGTCAAGAGATTGAGACCATCCTGGTCAACAAGTGAAACTGCATCTCTACTAAAAATACAAAAATTAGCTGGGCATGGTGGTGCACACCTGTAGTCCCAGCTACTCGGGAGGCTGAGGCAGAATTGCTTAACCCAGAAGGCGGAGGTTGCAGTGAGCCGAGATTGCGCCATTGCACCCCAATCTGGGTAACAACAGCGAAACTCTGTCTCAAAAAATAAAATAAAATAACAGTACAAGCCACCACATCTTGAATGCCTACTCTGTGTGCCAGGCACTATGCCAGGGGCCTGGCAATGACCCCATGGGATGGGTAGTATCACCCTTACTTTGCAGGTGAGAAACTGAGGTTCCTGGTCACACAGCTGGAAAGCGATAGGACCAAGATTGGAACTCAGATCTGTGGAACTCAAAACCCTGTGTCCCTAATCATTAAATATGCTGTTGTCCCTTCTATTATGGAAAAAAACATGCTCGACCTGATGGAATGTGCTCCATTTGGGTTCATGTGGCAGAAATTAAGCAAGAGTTAGAATCTGTTCAACCCAGGGGCCTGAGAGTCCTGGGAGTTGCTGCACTTTTGTTCAGACTATTCTTTATGTAACCCTAATTATTTATTTATTTTTTTGAGACAGGGTCTCACTCTGTCACCTAGGCTGGAGTGCAATGGCACAATCATGGCTCACCACAGCCATGACCTCCCAGGCTCCGGTGATCCTCCCACCCCAGCCTCCAAAGTAGTTGGGACTACAGGTGCATGCCACCACACCCAGCTAATGTTTTTGTATGTTTTGTAGAGATGGGGTTTTACCATGTTGCTTAGTCTGGTCTTGAACTCCTGGGCTCAAGAGATCCACCTGCCTTAGCCTCTTAAAGTGTTAGGATTACAGGAGTGAGCCACTGTGCCCAGCCCTTAAATACCTTGTTTCACATTGCATGCACTCTACCAGATGCCTTCAAATAATTTGGAAGGAGACAGGGTACAAGAAGAAAATAAAACACTTCTTCCACTTAGAGTTTAAGCTCAACAAAGCAGAGATCTTCAGGGTGCCTGAATCTTGGATGCATTCCTAAGGGCTCTGTGGCCTCATCTTCAGGCTCCTGACCCACTCATCCATCTATCCATCCATCCATCTATGCATGCATGCATCTATCCATCCATCATCCACCCACCCATTTATCCATCTGTCCATCCATCCATCCACCCACCCATTCATCCATGCATCCACCATCCATGCATCCATCCATCCCTCCATCCTCAGCCATCTGTCCATCTGTTTGTTCATCCAACCATCTGACCAAGATTTGTTGGGTGTTTATCTGGTGCCTCTAAAAGTAGAGTTACCCCAAGACTTTTGAAGGTCTCCTATCTGCTGACATTTCCCTAGACCCATGCCCAGAATATGGCATTAACATCTTTGCTATTTAGCTGAGGACACTTAGCTCTGATAGTCCTATTTGTGACTTGTCAGGCTTAGCCTCATCAACCACAGAAAGGTTCTACTCCTTCTTAAAAATTACCAGAAAAAAAATCCTTCCTGGTCATTATTCCAATAAGATAAAAGGAGAATAACACCACCAAACCCCGCTGCAGAACACTCCATCCCCATGGGCTGAGGACACCAAACATCTGAGTGTGTCCCCAGATTCCCTGGCAGTAACGCAGGAGTTGTTCAACAGCCTATATTAATGAGCAATAAAGTCCTGACGGGCACTGCATGGACGGCTCAGCAAAGGACTTAATTTGCAACCGTGCACAAAATCAAAGACTGTCAACCGAGGAACTATGTGGCTGGATAAGCACCTTGTGCTACCTGAGAAAGCACTGTCAGGTAAATTTCCAGAGAAAGTAATTAAGGAATCCCCATCGTCCAAATTCAGCAGTAAAATTTGGAGCTCTGGAATTTGATGCTCACCAGGGATCTGGTATCTCCTCCCAGCCCGATCCTTCATCAGAACGAGCAGCGGAGACTCATGGAGGAATCAGCCGGCGTGCCTCCCCGCCCCTTCCCCAACACGCCCCCCAGCCTTGTGCGGTCCTACGTGTGTTGTCTTGTCAGAGAAGCAGAAAGCAACAAATGAGATCTCCACGTTGTGAGACGGGGGCGAGATTAATACGCAAACATATAGACCTGAGATCTGGAAGTACCAATTAATATTTATCAAGCACCCACGGCATACATGATACTGAATCAACATGCGAAATGTGCAGGCCCTGGCACCAGGCAGTCTCCACTCCACTTGCACTCAGGTTCTGCGCACAGATAGATGCTCCGTGTGCTTGGAAGCACCTGCCCCAGTGGGAGGACCTGCCAGGAGTTTAAGTTAATATCGATACAGGTGCCCTCTTCCTACTGAGACAACGTAGGATTCTCAACCAGACATGGTCAGCACCCTGGCCTCCACGGGGAGAACCCTGCTGAGACACCACCCCAAATCTCTAAGGGCTGTCCCATTCACAAAGACACTTCAGCAGGGTCTCTGTCCACAAAATCCCTTCCCTAACTTCTTCTTAACCCTCATGATAAAAAAAGAAAAAGTCCTCCTCCCCACTGAAGATCAGGCTCTGCTGTGACCTCCCGTGTGCTGATATTTCTAAGCGGAGGTGGACAGGCTGCAGCAGGACCCCTCCAGAAGAAAGAGCTGAGCAACCTCCCATCAAGGGAGGTTCTGGAAAGAAAACGGGGACCCCCCCCCCTCCAGTGGCTCAGCTTGTCAGGGCCTTTGTTGACAAGCCCGTTGAAAGCGGCCTCACTGTCGCTGTGAAATTCCCTCCGTCTCCCATTCACTCCTTTCTCAGACAGTTTTTGAAAGGCGAAAAGTCTGGAAAACACGCTCACTCTCCCACCCCACCCCCGAGCCCCATCACACAGAGGGAGAGGGGGCAGCAACTTGGGGGAGCGGGGCTGATGAGCCCCTCACCTGGCCCCGCGGTGCACCGCCTCCAATTAAATCAAAATGGTTTGTTTTTAATGGTCTTTTACACTGACAAGTGGGCGATCATTTTGGGCCCACGAGCTGTCAGGGAACTGAGGCAAATCCTCCGTTGATAATGCCCAATGCTTCCAATTAGGAGCCGAGGCCGCTCCTGGCGCGCTAACGATTCCCCAGCCAGCCCCCAGGCCCCTTTGGCGCTGGCTGTTTCTTCTGCCTCCTCCGCCGCAAATTACTGACACAAAACGGAAGGCCCCGCGTCTCCTCCGCCACGCCAGGCCCGGGCCCTGTTGGGTTTAATGAGCCGATGGAAGTTTCGTGGCTCCAGCGCTAAATTCTTTTCTTGTTTGACAGCTGCTCGGCTAAGGCAAGTGTTGACCTTATAAAAGATTTAGTGTTTCTCATTATTTTCTGTCAAGCTTCACAAGTGATGGCTCTGCGGTTATCATTTGCATCCCGGGGTGTGCGTGTGCAGGGTGTGTGTTGGGTGCGTGTGTTGGACAGGGCTCCGAGGTGCGGACGGGAAACGGGAAGGGGTCTTTCTCTCGCCCCAAGTTGTACCTGGCCCCCGCACAGCAGCTGCCAGCCTGACGTTCTTCCTGGGCTGAGGTGTTTCAAAGAGAAGCTAAGATGCAAGGCCAAGGTGATGGACGCTTCCACGGCTTCCAGGGCTCCCGACGGAACCAGAGCCACCGCCGTGGGGGCACCAGAGGAAGCCCAGTGCACACTGGAGTCGGTCAACTCTCAGAGCCTGCTGGACCCCAGCCCAGTCAGGCATGAGCGCTGGGCAGCAGGCAGTCCCAGCCAGACTCAAGGCTGAAGACAGTTTTAGGGTCACGCTCAAGATTTCATCAGGGATCTCACTCTTGCCTCACAGGCCGGGGTTAGGCAGTTTCCGAAAGCTGCCTCCCTTCCCGATTTTTTCAAAGTGGGCAGTATTATTCTCCCCGAGCCGACTATGGGAACTTTGTTAGTCCTTGCTTTGTTCTGGCATCCCATGCAAATCGGGGCCTCTCTGTAACTTACAAGGCTGCAGGGAGTCCGTGTGGCACCTTCCCCAACCCCTGCTGGCCTCCTCATCGCTTTTCTTTCGATCTCTGCATCTTCCCGTCATTCCACCCTACCGGCTAGCTATCCCAGGCACAGGCGACCTGAGGTTGCATAAAGAGTGTGAGAGGTGGCCAGGCACAGTGGCTCATGCCTGTAATCCTAGCACTTTGGGAGGCCGAGGCAGGCGGATTGCTTGAGCTCAGGAGTTTGAGGCCAGCCTGGACAACACGGTGAAATCCCATCTCTACTAAAATACAAAAAATTAGCCAGGCCTGGTTGCATGTGCCTGTAGTCCCAGCTACTCAGGAGGCTGAGGCAGGGAAATTGCTTGAACCTGAGAGGTGGAGGTTGCAGTGAGCAGAGATCGCACCACTGCACTCCAGCCTGGGCGAAAGAGTGACACTCCATCTCCAAGATAATAAAAGGGAGAGAGTTAAGGGCAGAGGAACCTGCAGATGTCTCCTCCCCCAGTCTGAGTTTCTAAGTATCATTGTTACCATGGGAGACTCCATGTTGATCTTTCAGAGTGAAAACGTGGCGCTGTACCTCCCTCCTGTGCCCATGACAGACCTTCCAAATCAATCGTTGTGTACCTTTTTCACCTGCCTAGGTTCAGCCTTAGACTATTTTATAACAGAGTGTGGCCATCAGCTACCACCAGTCTATCAGCGCCAAGTGAAACGAAATGGTACTGCCATCCCTGCCTTTGAGAGGTCATTAGAATAAATTGCTAGGTATTCCTAACATTGCTTATCTTTTTATGCTATTAAAATGCATTAAGATGATATTTATAGAAAAGGAGAAAATATATAGCCTACTACATAAAAATAGATAAATTAGACTTCATCAAACTTTGAAAACTTTTGTGCTTCAAACAATACTATTGAGAACGTGAAAAGACAACCTACAGAATGGGAGAAAATATTTGCAAATCACACGTCTGATAAAATACTTGAGTCACTGAATATATAAATTACTCTTATAAGTCAGTAATAAAGGCCAGGTGCAGTGTCTAATGGCTGTAATCCCAGCACTTTGGGGGGCAGAGGCAGGAGGATCACCTGAGGTCACAAGTTGGAGACCAGCCCGGCCAACATGGTGAAAGCCCGTCTCTACTAAAAACACAAAAATAGGCCGGGTGAGGTGGCTCATGCCTATATTCCCAGCACTTTGGGAAGCTAAGGCGGGTGGATCACAAAGTCAAGAGATCAAGACCATCCTGGTCAACATGGTGAAACCCCATCTCTACTAAAAATACAAAAATTAGCTGGGCATGGTGGTGCATGCCTGTAGTCCCAGCTACTCGGGAAGCTGAGGCAGGAGAATTGCCTGAACTCGGGAGGCGGAGGTTGCAGTGAGCCGAGATCACGCCATTGCACTCCAGCCTGGGTGAAAAGAGTGAAATTCCGTCTCAAAAAAAAAAAAAAAAAAAAAAAAATCACAAAAATTAGCCGGGCATGCTGGCTAGCACCTGTAATCTCAGCTACTCGGGAGGCTAAGGCAGGAGAATCGCTTGAACCCAGGAGAAGAGGTTGCAGTGAGCCCAAGATTGTGCCATTGCACTCCAGCCTGGGTGGTAAATGCAAAACTCTGTCCAAAAAAAAAAATCAGTAATAAAAGATAAATAACTCAATTTAAAAATGGGCAAAGATAGGAATAGACATTTCTCTGAAGGAGATAAACACATGAAAAGATGCTCAACAACATCATTAGCCACCATGGAAACACAAATCAAAATCACAGTGAGATGGGACTTCACACCCACTAGGATGGCTAGAATAAAAATGACAGACAATAACAAGTGTTGGCAAGGATGGGGAGAAATTGGAACACCAGTACATGCTGGTGGGAATCAAAAATGCTGCAGCCAGTTTGGAAACGCTTTGGCAGTTCTCCGAAAGGTTAAACGTAGAGTTTCCATATCACCCAGAAATTCTACTCTTAGGTATACACTCAAGAGAAATGAAAACATATATCCACACAAAAACTTGTACATGAATGTTCTAGCAGCATACTCATAATAGTCAAAAATGGAAACAACCCAAGGGCCATCGAAGAATGAATAACAAAAATGTGGTCCATCCAAACAAAGGAATACTATTCCCTGGAAAAGAATGAAGCGGTGCTCCATGCTGTGACGTGGATGAACCTTGAAAACATGGTGCTAAGTGAGTGAAAGCAGCCAGTCACAAAAGACTGCACATTGTATTATTCCATTTACATGAAGAGTCCAAAGTAGGGAAAGCCACCGCAACAGAAAGCAGATTAGTGGTTGCCAGATGCTAGGGAAGAGGAATAGGAGTGACTGCTGATGCCTGTGAGGTTTCTTTTGGGGGTGATGAAAATGTTCTAAACTTAGAGTGTGGAGGTGGTTGTACAATCCTAAGAACATGCTAAAATTGGTGAAGTTTATGGTATGTGAATTATTTCTCAATGAAGCTGTTTTTAAAAAGAGTAACTTTTAAAAAAATAGCCCAGTTGGATCAGATGAGTGATCATCACCTAGATTCTGACTTTGGGGGCTGGAACACGGTGATAATTGGCCACCGAGCTCTGGCCTCAGAGGAGGGGGGTCTGCTGTGTTCTCCACTATAACTCATTCACCTGCAAAGTATTGAACTTGGAGGCTGAAGAAGCTTAGAAGCTGACCTGAGGTTTATGTGACGTTCACACGCACACCCCACCTTGGGACTGGCATTACCCAATTATTTTGCTACTAGCGTCTAGCAAACAGCTTCATTGTTCAATTTTGAATTCAACTGCTTCTGACTGGCCTTCGCTAATCCTTGCGAATGACCTGGAGCCATTGGTCTGGCTTCTCGAAGGAGCAAATCGATTGTCATTTTCAAAGGCACGAATGCCTAGCTTTCCTTCTGCTCCAGCAAGTCCCGCCAGCCCTGCAGTCAGTCCATGGAGCACAGCTCTGTATTCCTGTTCAGGCTCTGTCACTTAGTAGCTGGGTGTCCTTGGACCAGTGTCCTACCCTTCCCGAGCTTCAGTCTCCTCCTCCATCAAATGAGAGTGGTCCCCTGCCCAATCCCCTCAAGGTCCCTGCTCCTCCCCATTCCCCAGGCTGGGCGCGGTTCAAGAGTGGTGCCGGCACCATTTGAGAACCTATATTAGACCTTGCAGGAAGGCAGGAAGTTTGTTTTCCAAGCTGAGCTTGGCTGTTCTTTGAAATCGCAGCATGTGTCAGCAGGGAGGGTCGGGTCCTGTGTCCTTGATCATCTATTTTTGGACCACAGAGAAATGAGAGCCAGTGACAGAAAAACAATCTAGGGGACCAGATGTCTCAGGAGAGATTGTTACCCTTGTTAATTACTTAAATGACAACCTGCTACATCTGAGCTGAGGACCCAGCCTGCTCTCCAACCACGTCCTGCATGAATCTGTGTTCTACCGGGGCCTCTGACCTCCAGCTGCCCTGAACTTGACAGGAATTACTGACCTGGGACTGATCCATAATTTTCAAGTGCCTCTCATTAGAGGAGACAGCCTCTCAATCTTTTAAAGCAAAATCTCTCTCCCAGTCACCTGAGAAATTGTCCCTTAAAAAAAGAAAAAACTAAACTAAAATCTCTAAGGCTGTCATTTTTTTTTTTTTTTTTAGCTCTTTGGCAGATTTTTTTTTTTCTTGATCTGTTTTTTCCCCCCAGATCCTCCCTTTTGCCTTCTCAGTCTCCAGACCACTGGTCTCAGTGTCCAGTTAGGGAACCTCCATGTGGCCAGTGCATGGGGAGGAGATGTCCACTGGCTCAGCTGCCCTGGCAGTGGGACTGGATCAGGGACCTGGACTCAGAAAGTACTGTGGAAGGCCGGGTACAGTGACTCACACCCATAATCCTAGCACTTTGGGAGGCCAAGGAGGGCAGATTGCCTGAGCTCAGGGAGTTTGAGACCAGCCTGGGCAACATAGTGAAAACCCATCTCTATTAAAATAGAAAAAAATTCCAGCTACTCAGGAGGCTGAGACAGGAGAATCACTTGAACCCAGGAGGCAGAGGTTGCAGCGAGCCGTGATCACACCACTGCACTCCAGCCTGGCGACACAACCAGTGGAAAATCTGATTGACCTGTGAATTTGTGCAGTGCTGGATTTGGTTTCTCCTGGCCATTGTGTGTGTACACACACACACACACTCTCTCTCTCTCTCTCTCTCTCTCTCTCTCTTTCTCTCTCTCTCTCTCCCTCTCCACGTATCTCTGGGATGGCTTCGCAAGCAACAGCAAGGCATGACACTGGACAGGAGGCTCAAGATGAAATGAACAACCCCTACCCTCCCCACATGAAGAGCCCCAGGACTGTGGCTGCCTGAACCCCCCACCTGCGGCAGAGGCGTCGGCTAAGAAGGCAAGGAAAGAGGGAAGGGGAAGAAGGCAAAGGCAGCCCACTTTTCAGTTGAATGGGTGGACCAGACCCATTCAGCCCAGCAGAAGGCTGGTGCCACCCACGAGGGACAGCGGCCAACATCTCAACCCCAGGTAGAGGGTGAGGCGTCTAGGATATTTTCTCAGGCATTGAGGAGAATATAAGCCCCTGTGAAGCTGGATGTGCCCAACAGGAAGAGCCATTGGGAAGTCACATACATCAGCCAATGTCACCAACCACTGGCGGCTAAGGTTCCTTTGGCAAAGCTTTGTATCCACATTTGGAATCCTACCCAAATCTCCAATAAGTGGAACTCATAAAACAAAGTTACTCTTTCTAAACTGTGTGTGGCATGAGGAGGCCCTCCCCTCACCCCAGGTCACCTCCCACAAACGCAGTTTGAACCCCCATTTATGTTTTCATATGAAAAAGAAGAAAAGGCAATAGTCCTATAGAAATAAAAGTGAAATCCTCTCTGCTTCCCTGCCTGTGCTCGCTCCCCTCCCTCCCAGAGGCAGAGGTTGACATGACCTCCAAGAACATTCTTTTCCTTCCGCACCTTTCTGTCTAAGCAGAGTCACACATATGCTGGAGCAACATGGGGAGGTGTTTTATATGTTTTAATTTTTTTGTATCAAGGAAATCACGCTTAGGTTCCATTCTGTAAGTTTTCTGTAACTTTTTTTTCATGCGACGTTAGGTTTTTGAGATTTATACACACGGGTTCTGACAGCTCTGGAACAACACTGTCTAATGTAAGCTTCTGATAAAAATGTTCTATGTTGGCCGGGCACAGTGGCTCACGCCTGTAATCCCAACACTTTGGGAGGCTGAGGCAGGTGGATCACGAGGTCACGAGTTCGAGATTAGTCTAGTCAACATGGTGAAACCCCGTCTCAACTAAAAATACAAAAAAATTAGCCAGGCATGGTGGTGCGTGGCTGTAGTCCCAGCTACTTGGGAGGCTGAGGCAGGAGAATTGCCTGAACCTGGGAGGCGGAGGTTGCAGTGAGCTGAGATCACACCTTTGCACTCCAGCCTGAGAGACAGGGTGAGACTTTGTCTCAAAAAAAAACAAAAAAATTCTACATCCACCTGTGCACTGCTATTGAGCACTTGGGGTTTGGGGTTTTTTTTTTTTTTGAGGCAGTGTCTTACTCTGTCACCCAGAGTGGAGTGCAGGGGTAAGATCACAGATCAGTGCAGCCTCTACCTCTTGGGCTCAAGCTATCCTCCCACTCAATTTCCTCAGTAGCTGGGACCACAGATGGGTCCATCCATGCCCTGCTAATTTTTTTTTTTTGTAGAGGTGGTGGTCTTGCTATGTTGTCCAGGTTGGTCTCGAACTCCTGAGCTCAAGTGATCCTTCCACCTCGGCCTCCAAAAAGCTGAAATTACAGGTGTGAGCCACTGCACCCGGCCTACTGAGCACTTGGTAAGGGATTAGTGCAACTGAGCAACTAAGTTTTAGATTTTGTTTAATTTTAGTTCACTGACACTGAAATAGCTGCATGTGGCTGGGACTGCCATGTTGGGTGGGGCCATTATTAATCCCGCCATTATCACCAATCCGATGGGTGTGAAATGCTTATTTCTCTTGCTTAATGTGCTAGTCCCTGATGACGGGTTGGGTTGCGCATACTGTCCCGTTGATTGGCCAATCCGATTTCCGCTCTGGGAACCCCCTGTTCCTTTCTTCTGCCCCTTCTTCTGCTGCGGTGGAACCCCTAGCACCAACTTCTCTTTCTCTTTGCACATCTGCGTGTGTGCTGTTTCCTCAGGGAAGTCTTCTCTGGCCTCAATCAGAGTTGGAGTCTCTGTATTATAAACTCTCACAGAACCTGGTACTTCTTTTGATACTGAACACAGCTCTAATTGAAGAATTTCATTGTGTGATTTTATTTTTATTACTAGTTTCTCACTGCATCTCAGGGCCTAGCCCCATCTCTGACACACAGTGGATTGGATTGAGTCCAATCGTGAATACAGAAATACAAGGATGAGGGTTGCGTCTTAGCCTCAACCCAGGACCCATGGACACCTTCTCTAGGATAGCACCAGTTCATTCCACATGGGGATTTTTCATTGAAAGTAGGACAGACTTTTCAAGCAAGAATACAAAGCAAAATCTCAATACATACCAAAGGGTCTGACTTGTGAGGATTACTTTGGCACCAAATAAATTGAATTAGAAATCAGTAACAAACGTAACTGAGAAAATTGCCTGGAAATGTAAAATCACGCTTATAAACAACTTAGGGATCAAAGGAGAAATCCAAACAGAAATTAGATTAAAAGGGAACTGAGCAAAAATAAATATACTCAAAACTTGTGAGATGAGCTAAAAGAGAATTTAGAGGGAACACAGTTGCTAATGCTGTGTTATATAAATGCTAATATTGGAGAAAAAAAGAAAGATGAATGGTAATTAGCTAAGCCAACGACCCTAGATGCTAGAAAAAGAACAACAGAGTAAACAGTGAAATGTCAAAGGTACAAGTAAGGATACCGATTAAATGAAAAGTTGGTTCATTGCAAGTGGATTGGAAAAGCACAGATGTTTTCACATGAGTTAGGAAATGGGGCCCAGGGCTCTAGATGCAACACGAGACCTCTGTTCGGGGACTGCGGTGCTTAGGAAGGGGCCTGCTGTCTGGCAGCTGATCTCAGCTCTGCCCAGGACTCGCAGGAGAGCTGGGAGGGTCACTTCTCACCTTCAGACCTTGGGTTTTCCATCTGTAGTATGGGAGAGTTGGAGATTGAATATCCCTAAGGTGTCTTCCAAACCTAACTCTCTGGGAATGTTTTATTCCGATGCAGTAGCAGAGAGGAAAGGGATATTATCCCAGGAGGGAGCTATGATTCCCTAGCCACATGGAGTAGAAATCTCATATAGGATCTAGTAGCTACTCATCTGCCCTCCCCCATCTTGCTCTTCCCAGCAGCAATGGCTTACTCTCATTTCCTCGAATTCACCCCCATTCCTCCTTCACCCCTTCCTTTGCCCCTGGCTTGCTCCTCCATCTTCCCCAGAGAGTCCTTCCTGAGTCCCAGATGGAGTTAGATCTCCCCAGTCCGCAATCTTATTAAATAGCTCTTGTCAGCTGGGCACTGTGGCTCACACCTGTAATCCCAGCACTTAGGGAGGCCAAGGCAGGTGGATCACTTGAGGTCAGGAGTTCAAGACCAGCCTGGCCAACATGGTGAAACCCCGTCTCTACTAAAAAGACAAAAAATTAGCTGGGCATGGTGGTGGATGCCTGTAATCCCAGCTACTCAAGAGGCTGAGGCAGGAGATCGCTTGAACCCAGGAGGCAGAGATTGCAGTGAGCCATGATTGCACCACTGCACTCCAGCCTGGGCAATGACAGCAAAACTCCGTTTCAAAAAAAAAATAGCTCTTGTCTAAATGTCACCAACAATCACAGGTATAGTGTGTTTAGTGACCTCCCAAGACATCTCGCCGGGTCCATGTGGGCTCTGCCTTCCTCACTGGTGTATTTCCAGGGCACTGTGTGACAGGCAGGGCTCCATCCTTATTTCTGCGATACTATTTAGATTTGTGCAATGCTCCCATTCAAACAGGACCAGCTCCTTCACCAACCGGGATAAAGCTGCCCGCCTGCCCGCCCGCCCGCCCACCCGGCTCCCAGGGCTGCTAGAGGCTGTGGCACTTGCCTCTTATTTACCTGCATTGACCTTAGAGCAACTCAGAGCTCCATTCAGCAAAGCTGTCTCCTGCCAAAGCCGTTACAATTTCTTAGCTCCAGGCAGAGACAGACCGCAGATGGCTTAATTTAGAAGCATCTCAGAAGGAATTCCTTGCTCCATAGCTCTTCATCCTTTGACTCCAGGGGTCCATGGGGTCGTGACCACACAAGGGCTTGAGGCCTGACTTGTAATCAGGCTCCTCATACGTGGCTGAGCTGCTTTGAGAGTGGGGAGTGCACACGTGGGGTGGGAGACATGACCTTGCAGCCAGCCACTTTGACTTCACGGACTCCAGGAGCATTTAATAAGAGGCAGTGGTGCTCCTGATGAAGGGCCTGGGGTCTGGAGTCTCACAGCCCTGGGTTCTATCTGTGAAACGGGGCAAATGACTTACCTTCTAGGACCTCCACTTTCCTATCTGTAAAATGGAGGCAACAATGTTTCTGGCCTCCCCAGGGTGTCCTGAGGCTTGTGTGAAAGACATGCACAGCCCCCGGTGAATAGCAGGTCTGTTCTTGTCCTAGAGTTGCTCTTGGTGAGGGGCTGAACGTGCCAGTGCTGGGCTCCAGGACAAATTTTGCAGAGAAGCATCCAGCTGCCAGGCCCTTCAAGGACTGGAACTCCCCTCTCCACCGACCACTGTTTTTTTGGTTAGGAATTTGGAGACTTCGTGGATACAGAACAGGCCCCATCTCCCTTCTCTTTCTAAAGGGCTCATCCCACCTGGGGTAAACGCTTCTGCAAGTTTGCTTTCCTTAGAGTCCACCAGGCCCAGACACTAAGCATCTCCTTTGCTTTTCGCCTCCAGACTCTGCCTCGATGGGCCCAGGTGGCACTGCCTCCTCTGACCTCTGTAGATCCGTTTCCCTTCTGGTCCCTCCCACCTCCCTCATCCCAGTTTTTCCAGGGCACATTCAAGTACCCCCTGGCATGGGAAGCCCTGGCTGGCCAGCAGAGAGGGCAGGCAGGTTCTCTCAATTTCCTTCACTCATCATTCATTCATACATTTGGTCGCCCACCCAACCTTGTTTAAACACTTCTCAGATGCCAGGTTCTATGCCAGGCACTGGGGGTCCCTCAGGAAACAGGCCAGGAGCAGACCCTGCTTCACAGAGGCTGAACCCTTCCTTGAGCTCCCCTCTGGGGTGAATTAACTCCGTGAGATTCCAGTTGGAATGGGAAGTCATCCACATCAGAGGGCACAGGCGACCTGCCTTCTGCCTCTCCCAATGTCAGCACACAGTAGGTGCTAAAATGGGTGTGGTCAGTCACGGGGAGGTGGGAGGGAGTCTCTTGTGCCCAAAACAGCCCTTTAGAAAACCAAGGGGAAGATGGAACTTGGAACTCTGAAGTGCAGTGGGGGTGTGCTTAGCAGTTGCTGGCACACAGTTGGTGCTTAATAAATAGTTTTTAGATGGATGGATGGGTGAATGCTTCTGCTTCAGTGAAGTTCCTAAGGAAAGGGAAATTGTGAAACCAAAAAAATTTCCCGTCAGGTGTTCTCTTTTGTCCTTGTGTGGTTAGGCTGAGCAGCTCCTCGGGGCTTTAGTCCTCCAGCTGCCTTCTTGGGATATGAGATGAGTGGGTGCTAGTGAGCCTCCTGCCACCAGCCTGGCCAGCCACAGCCCCACCCACCACAGCCCCGCCCACCATCTCTGCTTGCTGATTTGCCCAGGGAATGGCTTGAGGATTGTATTAGCTTCTAGGGGCTGCTCTAACAAGTTATCACAAATTGGCTGGGCACAGTGGCTCATGCCTGTAATCCAAGCACTTTGGGAGGCTGAGGCGGGCGGATCACCTGAGGTCAGGAGTTCAAGACCAGACTGACCAACATGGAGAACCCCCATCTCTAGTAAAAATACAAAATTAGCCAGGTGTGGTGGCAGGCACCTGTAATCCCAGCTACTTGGGAGGCTGAGGCAGGAGAATCGCTTGAACCTGGTAGGCGGAGGTTGCAGTGAGCCGAGATCATGCCACTGAAAGGTGGCTGCCAGGGACTTAGGGAACAGGGACATGGGGAGCTGCTATCCAAGGGGTGTATCTCATTTGTGCAAAGCGAATACTCTCTAGAGACCTGCTGTACAGCACTGTGCCTAGAGTTAACAACAGAGCATATTCCATACCAAGCACTTGAACATACTGCTAAGAGATCAAATCTAATGTTAAGGGTTCTTACCAAGAAAAGTCTCCAAAAAACAAAACCATGGAAAACCAACTGAGCATGAGGAAGCTTTGGAATGGATACTTTTTTTGTTTGTTTGTTTCGGAGACAGAGTCTCTGTTCTCTAGGCTGGAGTATAGTGGTGTGACCATGGCTCACTGCAGTCTCCTATGCCTGGCTGATTTTTGGATTATTTGTTGCCTAGGCTGGTCTAACTCTTGGGCTCAAGCAGTCCACCTACCAAAGTGGCCTCCCAAAAGTGCTGGGATTACAAGTGTGAATCACCTTATCTGGCCATTATTTTTTATTGTAGTGATGGTTTCAGGGCTGTCTGCATATGTCCAAACTCATCAAATTTTACCAAAAAAATGCAGGTTTTGCAGCTTATGTAGATCGATTTACCTCAAGATTTTTTTTTTTTTTTGAGATGGAGTTTCGCTCTTGTTACCCAGGCTGGAGTGTAACGGCGCAATCTCGGCTCACCGCAACCTCCGCCTCCTGGGTTCAGGCAATTCTCCTGCCTCAGCCTCCTGAGTAGCTGGGATTACAGGCACGTGCCCCCGTGCCCAGCTGATTTTT